TCCCTTTCCCTTCCTCCTCTTTGCCCTATCCAAAGTTCTTACATTCCTCCCATATTCTCCTCTAATTATGAATCAGCATCCACTAATCACATTTGTCCTTTGGTTTTTTGGGATTGGCTTACTTCACTTAGCATGATATTCTCCAACTCCTTCCATTTACCTGAAAATGCCATGATTTTATTCTCTTTAATTGCTGAGTAATAATATTCCATTGTGTATATATACCATGGTTTCTTTATCCATTCACCTATTGAAGGGCATCTAGGTTGGTTCCACAGTTTAGCTATTGTCAATTGAGCTGCTATAAACACTGATGTGGCTGCATCACTGTAGTATGCTGTTTTTAAGTCCTTTGGATATAAACCAAGGAGTGGAGAGCTGGGTCAAATGGTGGTTCCATTCTAAATTTTCTAAGGAATCTACATACTGTTTTCCAGATTTTAACCTTTCTTTACACAATATGCCGTTTTGCTTCTATGAATTCTCCCATCCCTAAAGGAAAAGCACTGTACCAGATCCCACACAGATATGCCCTCTTATTCTTTATGTTCATGTCTTTTTAAAGTTTTCATTATTTCCAGTGGACAGATCATCTCTCAATATCTAAGTGATATTTTAAATTTAAATTCTCTTCTTACCTATCATAATGTCTGAATTATTCTACTCCTACACGCCAGGGCTCTAGAATTTTCTTTCTAAATGTAATTGGATGTACATTTGCATCATGTACTGTGAAAGGAAACATTGTTGTAAAAGGTTTCTTATGTGTATGGAGGGACTTCTTGAAAATTCCTGTGATGGGCAGATAAACCTACTGGAGTTTGGGTCAGAACCATAGAGATCAGGATAGGACAGGGATACAAATAAGCATTTTTTTAAACCAAAATTTGGTCTCTAGAATTAGGAAAGGGTATAAGTTAGATTCTGGAGATTGAGATGGGCTTAGAAAGGATTTGAAGTGAGGATACTGTTCCGGGGGGTTGTGGGGTTGTGGTTTTAGGGTGGGTTGGTTTTAACAAACCTTCTGAGCTTTTTCATAAGAGATAGGTGCTCTAAGATGATAATGAATATACAGTGTTTTTGAGAACAATGATTCTGGCAGGTCCTGCTCATCTTCTGGTTCAACATGAAGACCATCAGCTTTTCAGGTTGCTTACTGCAGATGTTCATTATGAATACCTTCCTCCCCATGGAATCTTCCACCTTTCTGGTCATGGCCTATGATCGCTATGTGGCCATCTGCCACCCACTGCGCTACTCCTCCATCATCACAGAGCAGTTTGTCATCAATGCAGCCATCTTCGTTATCTCCGCAATCTGCTAGCCACACTGCCTACTCCAGTCCTGGCTGCTAGGCTCAACTACTGTGCCAGCAACGTGGTGGAGAACTGTATATATGCCAACATTTCTGTAGCCAAGCTCTCCTGTGGGGATGTTCACCTCAATACGCTCTATCAATTCATGAGTGTTCGGTGCCTTCCAGGTTCTGACAGGGTGCTCATCTTGCTGTCTTACTGCTTCATTTTGAGGGCTGTTACAAGCTTGCAGTCTGGAGGTGCAACCACCAAGGCTTTGAGTACTTGTGGTTCACATCTCATTCTTATACTTTTCTTCTATACACTGCTGCTAGTCTTCATCTTCACAAACACGGCAGGAAAATAGATACCCTGAGAGGTACATATTCTTCTCAATGTCCTGCATCACCTCATCCCACCAGCCCTAAACCCCATTGTTTATGGAGTTCGTACCCAGGAAATTAAGCAGGGGATCATGAAATTATTCAAATCCTGGTCTTGAGAGATATGAATCCAAGATCAGACATGTCTTGATTTCATCTGAATATCTCAAGGGATATCATATGGCATCCATGGGTCTATCTTCATCTTCATCYSAAACTTTCTAAACTACTTTCAAAATACTCATCCTCATTCTCTCTTTACAAATATGTGCTAAACCCACATTTAGGTATCCATTACATTCTTCATTTTACATTGTACCACCACAATCTCTCAATTAGTCATTAATAAGTTTTTAATACTCTCTATGTTCTTTTCAGTATTTACATTCTTAGTAAGTCTCATTTAATTTATAGGCAACAATGAGGAAGCACTTTCAATGGAACATGGTGGGTATGAACAGGATTGGGGAAAACAATAAAGCCTTTCTTTCAATAATTTGGGTTAAAAATGATAATGACTAAGATTAAGGTGGTGAGTGGATATTGAAGTTATGAGTCCACCGTATTTACAGAGAGTCTATATGTAGAGTGTAAAAGCTGGAAAGGATTAAAGGAGGACACCCTGGATTTTAGCAAGAGCAATTGAAATACTGAAATTGCCATTAACTGAGAAGCTACCTTGGTCCATAATATCAGAAGATCAGCTTTTGATGAACTTCATTTCTATACCAGTTCTTTTCATGACTGTATATTAGAAATGACTAAAGAATCTGAGTTGAGAAGTAAAAGTAAGCAACTGATGTTTATCAGGGTAAGATAAAAGTTTAGAATAGAAGTTTGAGTCATCAGAATGGTATTTTAAAAATTTTTAAATTTTATTTATTCTAATTTGTTATATACACCTGCAGAATGCAATTCAATTCATATTATACAAGTCGAACCAATTTTTCATGTTTCTTGTTGAACATGAAGTAGATTCACACCATTTTTTTAAGACATGTATTTGGGATAATGATGTACATCTGATTCCACCATCTTTCCTACCCCCATCCTCCCTCCCTTGCCCTCCCTCCCCTTTTCCCTATCTGAAGTTCATTTATTCCTCCCATGTTTCCCTCCTCCCATCCCCACTATGAATCAGCATCCTTATATCAGAGAAGACAATGGCATTTGTTTTCCTTCTATCCATTTACCTGCAAATGCCATGATTTTATTCTCTTTTAATGTTGTGTAGTACTYCATTGTGTACATATTCCACATTTTCTTTATCCATTCATCTACTGAAGGGCATCTGAGTTGGATCCACAATTTAGCTATTGTGAATTGTGCTGCTATAAACATTGATGTGGCTGTGTTCCTATAGTATGCTATTATTAAGTCCTTTGAGTATAACCTGGGGGGTGGGAGACCTGGGTCAAATGAGGTTCCATTCACCATTTTCCAAGGAATCCCCATACTACTTTCCAGGTTGGTTTCACCAATTTGTAGTCCCACCAGCAATGTATAAGTGTGTCCTTATCCGTACATCCTCACCAACACTTATTGTTGTTTGTGTTCTTAATAGCTGCCATTCTGACTGGAGTGAGATGAAATCTTAGAGTAGTTTTGATTGTCATTTCTCTATTGCTAGAGATGTTTAACATTTTTTGATAAATTTTTGATTGATTGTATATCATCTTTTGAGAAGTGTCTGTTCAGTTCCTTGACCCACTTATTGATTGGCTTGTTTGTTTTTTTGGTGTTAAAATTTTTGAGATCTTTATATATCCTAGAGATTGGTGCTCCATCTGATGTGTGTGTGCTAAAATTTGCTCCCAAAATGTAGTATATTTTATGGTCTGGTAGAGTGATGCCCCCTGCTTCACTCTTCTAAGTGCTTTAGCTATTCTGGGTCTCTTATTTTTCCAGATGAATTTCTTGATTGCTTTTTCTATTTCTATGAGGAATGTCATTGTGATTTTGATTGGAATTGCATTAAATCTGTATAGTGCTTTTGGTAGTGTGGTCATTTTGAGAATATTAATTCTGACTATCCAAGAGCAAGGTAGATCTTTTCATCAAGATGGTATTTTAATCTCACTTAGATGTTCGATTTTAGGATCACTAATTTCCATCCCTTCACTAAACAAACTTTTTCAACTGTTGAATAACCTGAATTCACAATTTCTTGCTACTACCAATAGATTGTGAACTCATTCTTCTTTGCATCTGTAACATCTAGTATTAGATATAATGTTATATAATAAGTGATTTTTGCCTCTGTCAAGACATTTGTTCCCACCAAGGGATTTCTCAAGTATAGTCTCATTCCAAAAGACAGTACTGTTTATCAATGACATTTCATATAGTCGTTTTAGCAAACATATTAAAACATATGTTATTTTATAATATAAAATGTATTAATTAGTGTAATGTAGCAGAGAAATGAACTTTCTATATTTAAAATGGAAGATATGCTTCTAAAGAAAGCTTTAAAGAGACACCAACAACAATGTGATATTACATACTTATTCCACAGAAAGAAATTAAGAAGACTCCCTGAATATGTACCCCATCCCACCCCCTGCTTTCCATCCAAGAATTTCTCATAAAATAATTTGGATGGGTGATTGTTTTAGGTCCTTTTTAGTTATAGACATCAGCCAGTTGTAATAATTTTCTACCATTTGTTTGAGATCTGCTTTTAGATGCATCCAGTCAAGGAGTAATAAGGATGGAATAATTGAGGTGTATGCTTTAGAGTTGAGCACMATAATAATTAAACTTATCCAAGRTATAATGTRTCTGGGTTATAGTATTCCKTCTCCAGTACCAATATACCAATAAGAATACAGATTTTAAGGCCTAGTCTCTTCCTTTTTATGGGCTCTGGTTCATAGGAAGGGCTCTTTGCTTCTAACCCATGTTCCCATTCTAACATTCTGCATTGACTTTCAGTCATCTGCCAGGTCTGGGCTTTGAAAGTCACCTTCTCATGATCAGGGCTACTTTGTTTAGAGAAATAGGTCCTTCTACCTGTAGTCAGAATTCCTCAGATTCCACTGACCTGTCTTCTGCCTTTCACTTCCCATGACTGTATCCTATCATCCTGCTGGGATGTCCACTACTCCTTGGACTTCCACTTATTCTAGGCTTAGACTTTGTATTTACTGTCCTATATGACTGACACAGATTTACTCTTTATATGCAAATGAAAAACATTCAATATGCATAATTTTAGTTTAAAAATAATTTTCACAGAAATCACATTCTTCTAAATATTTTTTGTTTTATTTATACATGTCAGTAGAATGTACTTAAAAAAGACAAAATATATAAATATATATATGGTGTACAACTTCCCATTCATCTGGTTATATATGATGTAGAATTACATTGATTGTGTATTCATATATAAACATAGGAAAGTAATGTCTGATTGATTCTACTCACTTTCCTACTCTCAATTTTGCTTTCTGTCCTTCATTTCCTTTGTCTAATCCAAAGTACTTCTATTCCCCCCCCATTGTGTGTTAGCATCTGAACATTAGAGAGAACTTTTGGCTTTTGGTTTTTGGGAATTGGCTTACTCACTGAGTATGATAATCTCAGTTCCATCCATTTACTGGCAGATGCCTTAATTTTGTTTCTCTTTATGGCTGAGTAATATTCCATTGTGTACATTGAACACATTTTCTTTATCCATTCATCTGTTGGAGTGAATCTAGGTTTGTTTCATAGTTTAGCTATTGTAAATTGAGCTGCTATAAGCATTCATCACGTCAATAGATTTATAGACAACAATCTCATGACTATCTCAATAGATGCAGAAAAAACACTTAAGAAAATATAGCACCCATTCATGTTCAAAACACTAGAAAAACTAGGGATAGTAGGAACAGACATCAACATTATAAAAGCTGTTAATACTAGACCCAAGGAGAGGATCATAATAAATGGAGAAAAACTGAAAACATTGCCTCTAAAAACTGGAACAAGACAAGAATGCCCTCTTTCACCTCTTCTATTCAACCTCATCCTTGAAACTAGTCAGAGCAATTAGTCACGAAAAAGAAATTAAAGGGATATAAATGTGAAAAGAAGAACTCAAACTATCACTATTTGCCAAAAAAAAATTATACTACAGAACTATAGTAGCACAAATGCCATCGTGCTACCAAATCAGAAATGTAGGTGGGTGGTGCTGAATAGAAGACACAGAGACAAACCCATATAAATAATTATCTTGTACTAGACAGAGATCACGTTCTTAATAATCAGATGAAAAGTGGCCTTTTTAAAATTAGCTGTACATAATTGTGGGGTTCATTTTGATGTAATCACACATGCATAGATTATAATTTGTTCCATTTAAGTCTCTTGTACCTCTTCACTCTCTTTCCTTTTCCCTTGGCATCTCCACTTCTTATTCCCATAGCCTCCGCCCAGCACAAATTTATTGTTTTTATAATTTAATACTTATAGGTGTAAATAAAGGTGGAATTCACCATGGTACATTCACACATGCAAACAGCATAATTTGGTCAACTTAATTCCACAGTTCCTCCCTTTTTCCACCCCTTTCCTTATCTACACCACTGAATTTCCCTTCCATTTTCTTGCATTTTTCTTGCCCACATCCTCTCCTTATTTTCTCGGCCTTACACATATGAGAGAAAATATTCAAACCTTGACTTTCTGAATTTGGCTTATTTCTCTTAGTGTGATGTTCTCCAGTTCCTTCTATCTACTGGCAAAATGCAAGTCACCAGATGAATGAATAAAACAAATGTGGCATATCTACACAATGGAGTTTTTACTCAGTTATGAAGAAGAATGAAATTCCCACAAAGTGTCCTTCTTTTGGCTTTTCTGATGGAAAGAGATATT